CCCCCCCCCCCAACCGCAACCGCTGCCAGCACTGCCGCCTGCAGAAATGCCTGGCGCTGGGAATGTCGCGGGACGGTGAGTGGGGACCCCCGGCTCGGCTGGAGCAGAAGGGCAGAGGAGGGAGACAGGGGGTTGGGGAATAACGAGGCTGTTCTCCCTGCCCGATGTTGGGCCCTGGGAATGTTGGGTCCAGAATGAGCTGGCAGTTTCCTGAGGGGTGATTGGGAAGGATCCAATTGGGGCGTTTTTGGCATCGAAGCCTGTGAGCTTCTCCCGTCAAAACGCATCAGCTGGGATGTGGGTTTAGAGCTGCTCGAGAGTGGTTTGGAAGGGGTTAAACTGCGGCGTTCCTATAGGAAAACAGAAATGGATTCTGTTCGATTTGACCCAGAATTGCTGCTGGGGGGGTTGCTCTCACTGGGTTTATAAAGCCCCGAGCGAGGAGCTCCTCTGAGCTCCCCTAACGGCGCCGCTTGTGCCCCCGGGCAGCGGTGAAATTCGGCCGCATGTCCAAGAAGCAGCGGGACAGCCTGTACGCCGAGGTGCAGAAGCACCAGCAGAGCCAGGAGCAGGGCGGCGTTCCCAAGGATGACCCGGAGCCGCTCGGCCGTGTCTACACCACCAGCGTGAGCAGCGGCCTCTCCGACCTGGACGACATCTCCACGCTGTCCGATGGGCTCCTCTTTGACTTCCCCCTCACGCCGGACGGCAGCGGCGCCTACTACAACCTGGACCTGCTGGCGTCGGCGCAGCCCTCGCCCGACCCGTCCAGCCTGGACGTGGCCGAGGCCGCGCTCATCAAGCAGGAGTCGCTCTACGAGCTGATGCTGGAGCCGGCGCTGCTGGCGCACGGTGCGCTCGAAGGGAGCCCGCCGAGGTCTCCTTCCTCGAGATCGGTGAGCGCCCGCGCGGGCTGAGCCCCGAGGCAGCTCGCTGCACGGGTGGCTCTGCATCACTGCCCCCGTTCCTGTCCCTTTCCCCCTGACGCCTCCAGTCGTGGGTCCCC